CTGCACTTCCACGATTGTTCCGCGAATTTCCAGTGGTARTAACATAGGCCGTCATTGTTTCGGTGTTTGCTTGACGATCGGCTTCGACTTCGGGATCTTCCGCGGGAACTTCGGTACTTTCTTCTGCCGCGCATTAGGTTTTTTATCTTCTTCGTTAGTTGCGCGATTTCCCGCTTGATTTCCGCTACCTCGCTGTTGATTGTTGTTTGAGCGGTACTTCTTATTGGCGCTGCTTCAGTAATGGCGGCCGTTTCCGGCAGACGCTCTCTCCCGAGGATCTTGTCACCCATTTCCGCTAACTTTGCAGGTGACGTAATTTCGTCTGCAATGGCGAGGATCTCTTGTATCCTSGTTGGCATCCTTTGCATCCATAACGTTAGGAGCATTTTTTCGCTAACACTATCACCTGCTAGRCGTTTCATTTCTCTCCAAAGTTCGGACGGTTTTTTGTCTCCTAACTCAATTCCCATTAACAATCGCCTTAGCCGTTGTTCGTCGGATTTAGTTAGTCTGTGTATTAAGGCTTCCTTTAAATGTGTATACGTACATTGCTCGGGGGGGGATGCTAAGATGTCGTGTACCTCTCTTATCAGCGTGGTATCCAAATTCCTTAKCACCGCTGAAAACTTTACGGCATCCGATTTAACGTTGTACGCCGTGAATTCCTTTTCCAACATTACGAACCATAAATTTGGTTCCTCTTTCCAAAAAGCTGGAAGCGTTACATTTCTAAACTCACTGGCGTTGATTTCCTTTGTTACGAACCATAAATTTGGTTCCTCTTTCCAAAAAGCTGGAAGCGTTACATTTCTAAACTCACTGGCGTTGACTTCCTTTGTATCGGCACGGGTCACCTCGGCTTCGCTGGTTGGTTGCGCCATTGTTCTTCTTTTTATTATTTTTTTTATTTTAGTTGTTGTATTATTTTTTTATTTTTTTACGTGGACGTTCCCGGGTTTCGGCACCAATTTACTGTAGAGGGTTTCTCTAGAGTAAAGATAATATTAGACTGAATTGTGTTTTATGATTTTTATTGTTAGGATGCGACTTGCTTTTCTTAGTTGTACACTTCTCAACGGCTACGCACAGACTGTDYTMGTCTRGTGACCACTACTTGTTAGCGTGGTTCCCTAGCCTTCTAGTAACTTTAGAGGGCGCGACCTTCGGTCGTACCGCTACAAAGTCAGGTTTATGACGTCATATTTTTCATTGACAATTGTTGACAATACTGAATCATTAGCAATTGTATTAATTTTTTTTTAATTTATAAAAAGTAATATTTATTTAAAAATGGTAAAGAAATGTATTGTTCATGGGTGTATAAGTGGACGAGTCAAGGATCGTACTTTAAACGATCGGAAGTTGAAACCAAAAAATCTTCGCAAATACTCTAAACTGTCATAAATTATTAATGAACTTATTATTCTTATTAAATCTATTATTTATTGTTTTTTAATTCTACTTATGCTAGAGAAATTTATAGTCTTGTAAAAAGTGCAATTTACGATAATAAATTACAATTTACTTTTAATTGGACTTCTTTAATTTAGTTTTCCATCCTTTACTCAACTGCGACTAGGTAAGATGAAATTGAATAGATTTGCATAACAAGCTGACGATAATATCTTGGAAATAATTGTAAAATAATAAAAAATTTTTTTTTATTGCTTTAACGCGTGAGTACAATAGTTACATTCCCGCGACAATAAACTAGGTTTTAAAAACCTGATCCTAGTCACACTAACGTACTCTAGTGGCAAAAATCTGTCCCGTCATTTTCGTACATTTCTAAAACATTGCGTTCGTTCTCCTGTTATTTAGGCTCCATGGTGCTTATATACACATTCACCTCACCAATGATCCCAATCACTTCCGTCAATCTTTCTCGAAATCTCCAGACTATTCCCAATTGATTAAACAAAGAACTTCTTTCCGATTTCCGGTTCGAGAATATTCGAGAGATTTCTGGGTGCTTACAAAACGATAACATCAGCTGATATCGCTATGCAAGCTCGCTTTTCTTTCCTGCTACACACACTCGTACTCATATCGCTGCGTGCACTCACACTCATATCCATATCGCTACATATACTTACAAATCTTTCAACGTTCATCAATTGTTTCACGCATACCATACACTCGCACTCTTCATCTTTCTCCCACCCTTACATATATTATATTATATTATATTATTATTATCTTAATATATATATATAAATTACGTGTCAAAAGTTGTTTGTCCGCAATAAACTCCTATACTACTAAACCGATTTCAATAAAATTTTGCACACTGTATGCAGTTTCATCCAACTTGAAAGATAGAATTTTTTATATCTCAATTTATTATAATCGCAATATTATTTTATTGCGAATTATTTGCATATTATCAAAGATTTATGATTATCTCTGTTAGTTCGATAAGATTCTAACAGATGGCGGTAGAAGGTAATTCGTTGACTAGATTGAGTAAGTATCCAATAGATGGCGCTATGTTAAAAGTACAAACGTTTTGTTTATAACCTACAATTTATAAGTATAACCACGTGTATTTGGTGCTAGCATAATCGGCCACGTGTTGCTGAGGCTAAATAAGTTAAATTGACATTGTCGTAAACGTAATACAGTGAAATTAAATTTTTCTTGGTTTTGCAATTTTTAGTGCCTTATTGTGCTTTTAGTGCTTTCTTAAAACTCTTCTATTAAAATAAATACATGTAGAGTCATGTGGGGCAAGTGTGCGCAGCGGGTAAGTGTGCGCAGGTTTATTTTTTATAAAACCGTTGACAGTAGAGTAAGGGAACTGACTGTCTTTAGTAGTCACTACGACGTTGAACAAAAGACAAGAGTCTTGTCTGACAAGGTAACGTAGTTTTAGTAATATTTGTAAGTAAAATTTTTGGTTATAATTCTTACGATTTTTCTCAATTTTTAATTAAAATACCTTTATATTCATGTTGCGGAAATTAGCATTGATTGTATCCAACCCAGTGAACACAATTACGTCAAAATGACGTCAAAATGATTTTGCGCGATGTCATGATTTACGTAAGATATAAGTCAGATATGAGTCACATGTGACTCATTATTTCACACTTATTGACGCAAGACTTTTATGTAATAAATATGACGTTTAGCTGACCTGACGAAACAAAAGAACAAAAAAGCAATGATGTCATACTACATATGTCTAGTTGTTGCCGAATTTCTTACTAGTATATGACGTATAATTTTTTTTCTCAACCCCGGGATTTGAAACTCGGGAACATACGATTACTGGACGGTCATTAAATACTGGATGGTGATTTGCCTCACTGAGCCATGCGAACTTGTGCTAATTTCCATTATATTACTAATCCATATATAATTAACAATATTATTAATTTTAATTAATAAATATTATTAAGTATAATTAATAAATAATAATAAATAATAAAATATAACATAAATTAATAATATAAATTATAATTAACACGTTCCGTGCTACGTGTACCACCGGTGGTACAATAACTTTTTTTAGACACCTAAACACCCTTTAACACCCTGTTTGCTAGACACTTTAAAAAAATTCTCACCAAATATGAGCTCCTAATTTTAATAGGAAAATCCTCTACATCGCAGTTTTTTATTTTTTTCTCAGTCCAATAGAATAAAATTCATACCTCATCATTAATTGATTGTACAGAAAAATGTTCTGGAAGAATTTTGTAGGAAATTTATTGCTCTACAAAAAAAAATCGTATATTTTTTCCGTAAACCTCACCATTTGAATGATATTGAAGATTTAAATTTAGTGATTTTTAGACAAATTTCATTTTTGCTTATGAATTTTATAGCTCGACAATAAATGACTATTATAAGATGCGCAATACAAATTTTTGTAGGAAATTAACTGCTCTATAAAAATGGTGTCTTATGTTTTGGCGATTAAATTAAGCGTTCAATAGATATTCAGAGACAAAAATCAGTACACATGAAAGTTTGATGATATATATATATATGGGGCATTCCACGTTAAATCAATCACTTCTGACCCCGACCCGTTTCGATTTGGCTGAAAGTTTTTTATCCTATGCTACCCTATGAAAAACAATTTTCATAATTTCAAATTTTTTTAGCAAACTAAAAAAAATTTTTAATTTTTGAAAAAAAGGCTCTTTTCTTTGCAATGGCTATAATTTCTTTAAAATTCAACCTATTGAAACGTTTTTTTAAAATATTTGTTTTTAAATGTACTTTTCAGAAAAAAATACAAAAAAATTTCAAAATTATAAAATCCATGAAATTTTCCTTTTTTGTTGAGAAAAACCGTTATTTTCTCGAAGTTCGCCGTTTTTCATTTTTTTTTATTTTCTAGAAAAAAAACTTTGTCTAAATCTGCGATTATTCCCGCCAGTCCCAGAGTAAGCTGAGTTAGTTTCCTATTTTTTTTATTTAATTGAAAAAAAATTTTTAATTATTTTTTTTTTTAAATTAAATTAATGCAATTAAACAATTTTACAATATTATATACTTAATTTATAGTCTCAAAATACAAAGTTTAAAAAAAAAAATTCAACCTTTCGTTTTTTGCTGTAAGAATATGAAGGAATTATTACGTCATTTTTATGTCAGAACATATGACTTAATATTGAGGTCATAAATAAAGTCACTTTTCACTTCAAAAATTTGAAGATGACTTTATGACATACGTATGAAATCATTTTAAGGTCTTGTGTTCACTGGGTTCCGTCATGTGTACGCAAAAATTTGAAGATGACTTTATGACGTACGTATGACATCATATGAAGGTCTTGTGTTCACTGGGTAAGTATGCTCAATTATGTATTTAGTCTTATTAATTACATATTGAAATTTAGTAAAATGGCGCAACAATGCTTAATTTTAACCTAATTCTGTATATGCAATTTGGGTTAAGTGTGCGCATAAGGCTGTGGGGTAAGAGTACGCATATTTTAATGCGTAATTTTACCCCGATAGTGACAATTCTTTGTGCATTGACAATTCTTTTTATTTGTTTCAGTTTATTCTTATCAAGTTATATATTATCTAATTATAAACGAAATTATAAGCGAAAGGCTCCACACAGATCCGTTGTTTTAAGTGATCAATTTGATGCTGCTAAGAGATTGATTGCTGAAGGTTTGAGTAATTGAAAAGCAACTGAACAAATAAATAATAAAATAATAATAATATATAATAATTTTCTCGATATAAATTGAGATAGATAGTATTTGTGAAAGTATATATTTAATATGTACTAGTAAGAAATTCGGCAACAACTAGACATATGTATGACATTATTGCTTTTTTGTTTTTTTGTTTCGTCAGATCAGCTGAACGTCATATTTATTACGTAAAAGTCTTACGTCAATAAGTGTGAAATAAAGATTTACATGTGACTTATATCTGACTTATATCTTACGTAAATTCTGACATAGCTCAATATCATTTTGATGTCATTTTGACGTAATTGTGTTCACTGGGTGCCAACTCGATTCCAGCGAAGCTAATCAAATAGGGAGAAAGTAGATAAATTTAGGAAATTTATGAATTAATTAAATTTAAATGGAATGAGGAATTGCATTGGCAAGAGTCAAGGATAATTTCAATTTTCAAAAAGGGCGACAAAATGAATGTAATAATTCCATTAAGTCCTTGTATTGCAGGCTTGTTAGTGGTCTTATTTTTTTTTTTTTTTATAGTAGTGAGAACTTGATATTATTAACATTATTTAAGTAATAATGAGTCTTTGATGGCGATATGATTGAATTTTTGCCTCTTTCAAAATAAACATCTCAATTGTTAGTATTTAATACGTTCCCTTTTTGGTGAATAACTGCACCTAATCTCTTCAGCATTGACAATACTGTTGCGTCTCAAAAAACAAGAATTTAAAAAAATCCTTGGAAAGTCTGTTTTATCCACGCTGCATTCATCGAGTTTAGTCAGGACCAGGCAAGTTCGCTTTTTCCGAATTTTAAATAAAGGCGAAGAATGTGAAATTACGAAAGAATTATAAGAAAATCGACTAATCTAGGAAGTAAAAATGAAGGAAGATTCGAGGAATTTAGTTGAT